TTCCATTAATTCATATTAATTCAGATATCTTAACTCGAATATTTACCATATCAACATCATTATACCTCCAGTTTCAATTATTATGGTTATGATTTGATGACAATAGAGGATTTTACAAACAAGTAAATGAATTGTCAGCATGTGCTATGGATTAATTCTTTAGCATAGCTAAGGATGAAGGATGTTTAAATAACCATAATAATATGCATTTGGATTTCTTGATGATTTTTTAGTGGGGATATCTTTCCTCTCTTGAATAAAACCTCCATGGAAATAAAATAGTACAGAGTCTATAGAGATTCTCAGTCATCAGATCATGGTTGTCCCAAAGGTGCTTTTTTCAGGATCCAACTGGACTTTCTTGGTTTTTTTTTCTTTTGAAGACTTTTCGCTTCTCATCCAAAAAGGTTCTTCTGCTCTGACAGGATAGTGAAGAATGGAAGGATTTATATTCCTTGCAGACAGCTAATGGTGACTTGCTGAATTTGTTACTTTTATTCTCAGGGCATTTTGAATTTTGGAACAAGCGAGAACAAGCTTTGTTTTGATTTACTACAAGAAAGGGTAAGTTTGGATTCTTATTAAATGTGTAGGTTTCTAAATTTTAGAAATATTTGAAAGATTGATGGCTATGATTTTCTATATTTAAATAATCTAATAATATTGAGAAAATATAATTATCATAGACACACATTCTTTGCTGTGTTGTAATTCCTTCCTATTGATAATTGATGTATGGAATATAATTGTCATCAGGTTAGCCTGTAAAGATCTATATAGTTATTAAAAATTAACATCAACTGAGTTCATGTAAGTGAACTAATTTCCATACTAAAAACAGCATGTAAATCAATAGAATCAAGTAATTTATAAGAAGTATTGTCTCCTTTTCTTTACAACAATGGATAGCTCTCGAAACCTGATATGAATTATTTGGAGCCTCGTTTACTCCAATACTCGGATACCCAAGGCATTAAAAGGTACAGTATGAGAAATCATTACCCAATTTTAAAAAAATGTTTTCAAACAAATTAACATTTACATTACTAATTCCACTTGAAATCCAAAGGGTACACTGTGTGTATGGTTTCTATTTCTACCTTCACAATGTACATAGTAAAGGACAGGGAAGCAGGATTCCATTGACTATTCCATTATTTCCTAATACTAATGTTTTGTAATAAAGTTCTTTCTGTGGATATATTGAAACTAAAGGCTGGTTAAAATATGATTATTTCAGTTCACATTCTAATTTATCATCATCAAATTTGAAACTTAAGCAGCTTTTCAGCCCTATTCTACATTATGCAATTATAATAATGACTATGACCATCTGATAACTATTAATGAACTCTTAATAGTGGCTATTCATTAAAAATGATTAAAAACTGTAATATTTTTAAGTTAATAATTACATGTCTTCAATGTTTTTTCTGAAAATATATTTCTTTTATGTCCCAAAATGTTGGTTTTAAATTTGACAACTATTGTACTGTTTCACTATGAGTGCAAGCCATACTGCTATTTGAAGAGATCAGAAAGATGTGCCTTCTGTTGCAAGAACTTTTTCAGAACTGCAGTTGTGATGGTAACATCCTCAGTATGCTTTTGAAAAATCCATGAGTATTAATCTCTTGCTCTTCTTCGTTTTCCTTCTGCATAATGCTGTAACAGATATTTTTGCTTCTGATGGTTCAAAGAGAAGGGAAAATGAAGAAAAATTTAAGTTTTCTCTATTCTTGCTGATGTGAACAGTCAACATCTTANCCACAGGTCTTAAAGTTGCCAAGGTTGGAGACCACTGGGTTATAGTAACACAATCTTGAAAGCCAAGGAAAATTAAGGAAGAGCTGGATTGTATTTCTTTCTTCATTCCCAGGATTAAAATTAAACTTAAAATTAAGTTTTCCTCATTGTCCAGATTTTTTGCATGCATAAAAAAAAAATCAGAGCAGACTATTCAGCCATAACTTTCTCTTTATATTATTATCTAGCAGTTGTGCCATAACAATCAGCAAGTTCTGTTGCTTAGTGCCTATATAGCAGTGATTCTGAATGCTGGAATATTCTGACAGCTGTTCAGCATGTGTTCAGAACTCCTATGAGAGGCAAACACTGCTTAGGTGTTCTCTTAAATATTAATTGGTTTCATATAGGTAGCATGTTTTCTTCTGGGCTCTTTTGAATCCTCTTTCAAGCTGGATGATGAGTAAAACCATACACATGCTTGGACCAAAACTCTGCCTCTGCTATTCCTGTGAGTAGGGCTTTGGTCCCTTTCATTCACAGCTGTTATTTAGCGAAGACAGACAATTGTGTCACTACCATACAGGTAGGCCTCAAATGCGGGCTGGTTGCAAGTACCCAAAATGTGACAATGTGACTACAGGGACCGTCAGAACTTTGAGTCTGGGTTAAAGGTAGTCTTAGGGAAATCTGTCAGAACTTCCAGTCATAATGGGTTGGTATAATATTCTAGCTTTTAAAATATCAGCCCTTTTCTTTATAACTTACAATAATGTTGATTATTATTTTAATACTTATTAATTATTCCTATTTTTCATATTAAATATAATGAAATATTTTTATCTATTCTGTTTTTTCCTATAGAGGCTGGGAAAAAAGTAGAAAGATTTCTGTGACTTTCAAAAAATTATGCTAAACCAATTAAACATATATTTGGAATGTATTAACCTGAATATTTACCTCATACAACATTTTCATGGTACTAATGTGCTCTGTTTTCTTTCTTTTCTTTTCATTCTTTTTCAAGTTATGAAAATTTTCAATATCCAAAGAGGAAAGAATCCAGTGGAGCAATTTTCAAACCAGGACAAAAAGTAACATTAGCTTAACTTCTGTTAAAGAAGTAGTAATCATGTTTACTAATAATTTTCTAGCAAAGTGTTTATTTGTTAAATTGTATCTATGAAAACTCTATGTTATTGTTAATATTGCAAAGAACATTTGTTTACTTGTTAAATTGTATCTATCAATAGTCTATGTTACTGTTAATGTGACAAGGACATTTAACTATTAATTACTTCATTATTATTTTGCATCATTTTAATTTTCAAAGTATGTTCTACTGAAAATTATATTAAAAGCTTTTGAGATAACTACCTTTACTTTGTGTTCAGTTTTTTCCCTGAGGGGATTGACATTCTTGGCTTAGTCATTCTCTTCTCTTTCAGAAATAAAATTAAGCAATTTAACAATGTCAGTCTGCTTTGAATAGACTTACTGCATTTAAACAAAAGTGTAATTGAAAGCCTAATTATTTATCAATATTTAAAAACATATTCTAAGTAACATATTTCTAAATTAACTCACCATGCTTTGTAGAGGGCAGATTATTGTAATGGAAGACTTCATGTTCCAATAACTGCTGGAAAACTGACTCAGCTAAGAGCAAGGCATCCAACAGATGTTGCTGACAATTTCATTGTTCAAATGAAAATAAATTTAATCCTACCCATCACGGAATAATTGGAATGTATCAAAATATCAGCCTCTTTTGATGAAAGTAGTTATGCCATATTGGTAGCTCCAATTAACCGGAGAAGGAAATATGATTGGAATGAATCAAAGTGAAGAATGATAATACACTATAATGTAGTTTGAAATTTTTAAGGAAGAACAAGGGGAATAGGGATAAGAGAACGTGGAAAATGATACGTGAAAACACAGATACAAATGAGCTCCATGGAAAAAAAAATCTCCCTCAGATAGCGGCTCTGGGCAGTATACAATGTAATCAATTTATATACAGCATAAATATTAAAATATTAAAATTAATATGTTTAAAAATGTTTAAAATTATATAACATTATAAATTTTCAAAACATTATCAAACATTTCAGAAACAAGAGGAGGAGAGCTTCTCAAGGGGTCACCCCGCTGCACAGTTGTATGGTCCCCTGTGTTTCCACACAAGGCTGTAATTTATTACAATCTAAAGAGCACCTTCAAACAAAGAGTTAATAGGGGTTTTTTATTGCCTGTAGCAGATAAGTAGTAGCAAGGCTCTAGAAAACAGGAAAGGATTTGAATATTTCTGTACGAAAAAGCTGGCTGCCATAGAGTAAATACAGAAGATGATTTACCTAGTTTCATTTGGTTGAAACAACAGCGCGTGGTAATTTTCTACTACCCAGTTCCAGGTTTCTAGGTAATATAATTAAATAAAATTAAATGTTTTTGCTTCTATGTATACTCTGCAACATTGTTAATTCTTAATTGTTAATAAAGTTTTTAAAACTATTTGGTTTCTATTTCATAAATCCTCATCAAAATGTAAACAAGCTATATTTAGCTTTTGGATAAATCACCCAAAGGATATTAGTGGTATCAGCATTACTTGTGACACTGAACCTCCACAGGATGTAAATTTGAGTCAGTGTCTTATTTCAAGCATGGAGCCAATTATTTATGCACAACAGCATCTGTATCTGATGTAACCAGCAGGTCAGCATTCCATGACTCAATCCCTGTATCTCAAAGGCTGCTCATGTGATAGGACAAACCCTAAATTCAGTTTCTCAGTATTTATTTCAGTCAGTAGATGCTGACATGCTATCTTGTCCTTTCACTGATCTAATGGCCTATGTTCTCAGTTGACCCATCCACCCACCGTGAATAAACTTTCCATTGCTAGCCATTAATTTTTCTCAAAAATTAACACGTGCAGACACTCAAATTTACATTGTTGTCTTCAAATTCTGATTAATATCAAGAATCCACTGATATAATTCAGTTGTTACAACCACATATATTTGCATTTATGGCTGGCAGTTTTGTCAACAGCTGTCTAAATTTGTAATCAAGATTTTTGTTGTTAACTGAAGAGTTTAATAAAAAAATAGTAAAAACTAAGACAAATTAGAAGAAAAAGTACAGAAAGTGCAGAAAAAAGACAACAAAAGAGAGGAAAAAGACAACAAAGGGAACAATAAAGTGACTTCCAACCTTCATTACACCAAGCATAAACTAACATGCTAACTTTTCACCCTTTTTTAAATGTTACAAATAAAAAAAATATTTTCTGCATAGCCTAACCATTATCTATACAAATCCAAAAATCATTTTTTTCAGCTGTGGTTCAGGAATGTTGGAATGTTTGGAAAAAATCCATTTGGAGTTACCAGAAATATCGAACAAATGCTTTTACAAATATTGCAAATTTATATTCCTCTTCTTTCTATGCACAATCTTGACCTTTCAGTCATTCCTATGGCATCCTATTTCATTATTCTTTACATTTAAAAGGAATCTTGAAAGTTTTCACAAGCCTACTTTGTAATTCCATAAAGAGGATTGTCCATGATTTTTTGTCGCAGCTGTTCTAAATCCAGTTCTTTTTCTTGATTTGTTTTCCATGCCTTCAAATGCTATTATGTCAGATAAAAGTTTTTTTTAACTTTTTCTCATTTCCTAAAAGTGTTATCAATTGAAGTCTTTTCTCATTTCCAAGATTAATTTTTCAATAAACTGTTTCTTTGTTAAATAAATGTTATTTCCAAATTAGTCATTTTAACTCCTTTCTGCCGGTTTATTTAATTCCTTCTAGTTTCCATCCGTAAACTTTCTAAAATCTAAGTAATACAGGTTTAGTTCCATTTCAGTTATTTCCCTCAAACATATTATTTAATTATATATTCATTTTTCAAATTTTATAGCAAAAGAACTAAAACTCAATTTTTTTCTGGTCTCCAATTTGTTTTAACACTTTAAAACAAAAAAATGCTCTCTGCAATTGTGTATTATTTATTATTATATAGTGTGTATTACTGTAAATGCTTACATCTATTTTAAAATTTTCATAATAGAAACCCAGGTGTTTTGAAGATCTCCAATATCTATAAAGTGGTTAAACATTTTTGAATATAATTACAAAGTGAATTTGGCTGGTTTAATGTTCTTATGAAAGGCTTAGCCATTGCTGAGAACAAAAGTGTTGTCTCACAAGGCTCCTGCAGGATCAGCATTCATAGATGATCTTCTGATCTCTCCTTTTCTGAAGAAATTCAAAGGACCAGTCTACTTGCTGATTCTTCACTGTAATCATTCTCTCTGCTCCTTACAAATGTTTTCACTCAAGCATGACTCATACTGGAAGACCATGTACGTAGTTGTTTTTTAAAATAAAAAAATCATAGTAACTATATACATATTCTCAAACGTACCAAGTGATAGTCTTAATGCTTTTAAAGTTATAGTTGGTGGATACTTTCTTACCATTCCTAACTTAGTATTCTTCAAGGACAGAAGGCTGTAACCTTTTCCTACTCTATGGGAATTATTTTTCCTAGTCGGTTATGTAATGAACAGAATTGTCTATCATGCAAGATCTGTTTACAGTAGCTATGTTGAGCTTGGCCAGTTTCCAAAACAAGTCAGCCAGCTCAAACTGGAAAGGATTAGTGTTGGTTGAACTTAAGAAACTTTAGATGTGATTCAGCAAAATTGCTTTATTTTGCCTAGTGATTCAACAAACCTGCTCAAGATATGTTTGGATCTATCAGTAATTATTACCTAGACTGTTCTAATAATGATAAAATCAGGCGATAATGTAATTTTGGTTTATTTACAATATCGATGTGTGGATTTGCTGTACACATAGAAATTGTCTTCATGAATGTATTACACAGTATAAAAAGCACAAAACAGCATTGTTGAAATCTTATAATGTCATATAGTTAAACAATTATTTCTAAGGATAGTTGTAATCTGGTATATTTTTAATATGGTTCAGAAGTCTCGTAGAGACTTGTAGTCCCATCAACATTATTTTTTATCTAGGTCTCCATGCTCCCAACTTGCTTAAAATACAATTATTAGACATTGACGGAATAGGTCCTTGTATAGTGCAAAAGCGTGTAAATTGTTTTCTGGAAAAAAAGATTTAAAATATGAAAATGTATGTTTTACAAAGCAATAATGCAATCCTCTACTTAATCCTTCACTGCATAGTACAATTAATTATGTTTCAGTCAATGATATTTGTTCTTGATTAAACTACTACCTCCTTCTCAAACCTACAACTGAAGATTTGGATTCTGAGTACTCTGCTACTTGTTTATCTTTTCCTTATCTTCTAGACATTTTTCTACAACTGACAATTCTTCGTTTAAATGAAGAACTTAGAAACACCTAAAAATATACCTAATTCCCTCCTCTTGAACTATATCACGGAAGTAAATGTATATATGATGCATTTGTCCTTTCCTTGCCAGCTCGAGTTCTCGCCTCTGACAATAAATGCAACCAAATATAACAGCCACAAGCCACAATTCGATTGATGCTCGAAATGTGACTTCAAGCTTTGCAAGGTGAATCGACGCAAGATCAAGAGCGCCTGGTTTCCGCGAAGTTAACAGTACTTTCTTGGTGCTGAGGGGTGGTGGTGGTGGTGGTGCCATTTATTTTTTAAAGATTTGGAAAGGGTTAATCTGGGTAGGGTAGACTCGCCCTCCCTTCTCCCCTCGTCATGTCTCCTGCAACAGGCGAGACAAAAAGGGGAAGAAGACCCCGTCCCGTCGCGTTAACACGTCGCTGCATCTCCACGGGAAGGACAAAAAGAGACAAAACGCCTCACAGGAAGAGGAGAGGCGACGGGGCGGGCTAATCGGAAGCTTCGGCCAGCCAATGGGCGAGAAAGAAAACCGGATCAGCCATTCCAAAAGGCGTTCAGGCTGAGAGGAGCTGTCACCGCTTTTGAGGGAGGGCTGCTGCTTTCTTTACACCGTCACTGCCTCTTTCTTTTCGCCTGACTTCCTCAAGGCGCCCGGGAAGCTCCTCGTCCCTCACCTTTCCTCGCCGCAGGATGAGCGACCAAACACCCCGTCAGGGAGAACTATCCGCTCGCGGAGCCCGCATCGCCGATGGCGCCGCGGGGCTCCTGGACGAAGGCTTCGAGAGGTACCTCGACGACCCTTTCGACGCGGACCAAAACCCTCAGGTGACCGCCAGGTTTTGACCCGCTTTGGGCGGCTTGCAGGGTCTCCCCTAGGATATTTTGCGCCGCATCACATCACGTTGGGCTCCGGGAGGGGCAAACAAAAGTCGTCTTTGAGGATGGATAACAGATTAACAGAGTTGGAAGGGGCCTAGTGGGTCATCTAGTCCAAATCCCTCCCCAAAGCAGGAGCGCCTACACCTTTTCTGACAGATGGCAGTCCAGTTTCTTCTTGAAAGCTTCCAGTGATGAAGCTCCCACAACCTCTGAAGGCAACTTCTGTTCCATTGGTTGATTGTTCTCACTGTCAGAAAATATATCCTTATTTTTAGGTTGAATCTTTCCATGGTCAGTTTCCATCCATAATTCCTTATCTGGCCATCAAGTGGTTTGAGAAAATAGTTTGACCCCTTCCGGTCTCTTGCAGCCCTTCAAATATTGGAAGACTGCTATGCTGTCTCCCCTTTCATTAAACTGCAGATTAACAGATTAGCAGAGTTGGAAGGGATCTTGTAGGTCAGTGGTGGGATTCAATTTTTTTTTACCACCGGTTCTGTGGGCTTGGCAGGGTAAGGATACTGCAAAATCCCCATTCCCTCCTGATCTGCTGAGACTCGGGAGGCAAAGAATAGATGGGGGACGGGGCCAGTCAGAGGTGGTATTTACTGGTTCTCTGAACTACTCAAAATTTCCGCTACCGGTTTTCCAGAACTGGTCAGAACCTGCTGGATACCACCTCTGTTGTAGGTCATCTAGTACAACACCCCCCCCCCCCACTCAAGCAGGAGACCCGATACCTATACCATTTCTGACAAATGGCAGACCAATCTCTTTTTTAAAGCCTCTGGTGATTAAGCTTCCACAACTTCCAAAGGCAAACTATTGAATCTCTCCTTGTTCAGTTTCCATCCATTCCTGTCTGGCCCTCAGGTGCTTTGGAAATTAGTTTGACCCCCTCCTTTCTGTGGCAGCCCTGAAAAATTGGCACACTGCTATCATGTCTCCCCTGTCTTTCCCTTCATTAGACTAGCCATGCCAAGTTCCTGCAACCATTTATTGTATGTTTTAGTCTTCAGTCCCCTAATCATCTTGATTGCTCTTCTCTGCACTTTTTCTAGAATCTCAGCATCTTTTTTATAGAGTGGTGACCAAATCTGGATGCAATATTCTAGATTTGGTCTTACTAAGGCTTTATAGAGTCAGAGTGGCATTAGTACCTCACTTGCTATTGATTGTATCCCTCTGTTAATGCAATTTAGGATTGCATTTGGATTTCTTTTTTTTCTTTTTTTTTATTTAAATGTTTTTTAATTTTAGTTTGACACGGGTATAGCATCTTTCTTAGTATATCAATCGATTACAAATAAGT